TCAGGAGCTTTAATGAGGCAGCCAAGAGTTTTTAGCAGCTTGGATTTAGCAGACCAAGATTTTTTTTTTTTTTTTTTTGGGAAAATGCTCCTTGGGTGATGATCACCCTCACAGGGATCCTTTTTCTACTCTTGGGGTCTCCAGGGTGCTGAGATTTACAGCCACAGCCACTCTGGTGCTCTTCAACTTCCCTGCTCCTGGTGTTTTCCAGGAATTTGCGTTTAGTGTCTGACTTCCTGCAGCAGCACAAAAAAGGGGAGAATTTACACATGCATGGGACAAAATGTTCCTCCCCTCCCAGCTGGCAAACACCCCTCTGGTCATTTATTCGGTGAGGTATGAGAGTTTCATTTTGCAGGGTTCTTCCCCAGGGTGGGGAAGAATTGGGAGAGTTTTTTTTCTGGCTCAGGGGGACCCTGCAGCTTTTGCAGCACAGCAAGGCAGGAGAGCTCCTTTCCAAGGGGTTTGCAGTGATGCAGGCACGACATTTCTATTATAATTAAAATGGATTTATTTGTGGAGAATGGCAGAAGTGGTGGCATGGTGTCAGAGCCCTGGGTGTGGAGCCAGCCTGGCACTGATGGGAGATGCTCCAGGTGAGACACTCCCACCTGCTCCAGCTCACTGGGAATCTTCCAGCAGCTCCTTCATTCCATGGATACCTTGCTCTGGTGTGACCAGGGACACCATGGATGCCTTGTTCCAAAAGAAATCCAGTTTTTTTTTCTCCCTGTCTTTGTTGGTTTGCTGACAGCAGAGCCAGGCAGGAAGCAATAAACGTGGCTTAAGATACAAGGTTTAACCAATTAATTCCAATGCATTTGTGACAGGTATTGATCAAAGGTAACATTTATAACCAGGGCCTGCTTTGTCAAGGTTAGATCTTGCTCAGGAAACAGCCTTTGATAAGCTGAGCATTTGATTGCAGGTTCAGTCTCTGAGGAGGGTGTGTGGGAGGAGGAAGAAGGAGCTGAGTCTTCCTCCTGCCATCTGAGCATCCAATTTTGGGCTCTCTGGTCACTTCCATGAACCCTAAGGTGCAAGGGAGGCCCGTGGCTGCTCCAAGAAGGGTGATGAACAGCTAATTGGCGTTTAATTACTTGGTTTAGAGGTCACCCGGTTGCATTTTGGCGTTCTGTGTGTCCCTGGTGGGTCTGTCCCTGTGCCCAGCAGCTGGGATGGGTTCCCTGAGGTTTCCCCAATCTTGGGGCAGGATAATCCCAAGGCACGGTCCCTGTGGAGGGAATGACCTTCAGGATGTCCTTGGCCTCTGGAAGGGAATGTTTTGTGTTTGGCCAAGGCTTTGCCTCGGGGCTGGTGGGCTCAAGGCCTCTGGAGTGCTTTTATTGCCACTTGTCCCTGAGCAGATCCTTCCCTGATAAACAGCAGAGATCCCAGGATTGCTGTCTGCAGTGGGGGGGAACAAATCCTTCTCTGTCCTCGTGGTTTTCCTCAGCCTTGAAGCTCAGGAGGTTTAAACCAGGTTGGATTCCTCCTCTTTCTCCCCCAAAAAGCTTTAAAAATGTCACTTTGCAGCAACCCCCCCCCCCTTCTGTGCTGCTCTTCTGTTCCCTTGGGCTTTGCCATAGAGCAGCAATACCGTGCTCAGAGCCCTAAAAATCAATAATAACTGAGCTTTTCCTGGGATTTTTGGAGCTGGGCTGGGGGGTGTGTGTGGCTGTCCCGTGCCTCAGTTTCCCTGTGTAAAAGCTGGCAGCTGTGCTGGCAAGCTGGGAGGGCTGTGTTGGACACAGAGGGGATTTTCTGCCTGGTTTTGGGTTTAAGGAGAGTGCCCAGGGCAGGGAGGTGTGAAAAGAGCAGCCACAGTGCTGTGAAGAAAATACCGTGGTGTTTTCCCTGAGGGTTGTTTAAGCTCTGCAGAAAGCAGTGGCTGTGCTCAAGTTGAGTTTTTCCCTCTCTCCTGCCCAGTGTCCCGTGGGCAGTGCCAGTGGGGATTTCCTGGCTCTCAGTAATTCCTGGGGCAGCCCCGGGTGGGTTTGTGAGATGTCACATTCCTGTCCCGTGGGGCTCAGCCTCAGCTCTGCCCAGCTTAGCTGGGATTAGGCTGGCGTGGCTCTGGTGTGGCTGCAGATGTTGGATGCCAGCAACATCTGGCTGCAGAGTGTGCCCTGGCAGGGCTGCTCCTGCTGCCATGGGATGTGCTGCAGCCTCATCCTCTGGTCCACAGCTCGGAACCCTGGGTTGGGATAAAATCCAGCTGCTGCCAGCTGAATTTTGGGGCTGCTGGGGGCAGCCCAGGCCCCTCCTGGCGTGCATTAATCTGCAGAAGAGGATTCCTCAGGGATTACAGGCTGGGAGCTGAGGAGCTGCAGTGACACAGAGCAGCCAGCCCTGCAGAAAAGGGAGCTGCCAGGAGAAGAGCCCCACCCCAGCTGTGACAATGGGGACCTGCTGTCCTGCTGTCCTGCTGTCTTGCTGTCCTGCTGTCTTGCTGTCCTGCTGTCTTGCTGTCCTGCTGTCCTGCTGTCCTGGAGGGGCCCAGCCCTGTCCAGCCCCTGGATGCAGTCAGGTCTGCCTGGGACCCTCAGCTCGGAGCTCTGGGTGCCTTCTCATCTGCTGGGGCTGGGCTGGGGAGGGTTTGTGGCAGGGCTGGGGACAGTCCTGGGTGTCCCAGGAGCTCTCCCAGCTCCTCCACACGAGGATATTCCCATGATCTGTTTTACTCAGGGTGAGTTCCTGCTGCTTTCCATGCACCTCTGATCACACCTTACCTTTTCAGACCTTCACTGCTGCAAGATTAGGTGGGGTTTGACTGAATTAAAATCATATTTTTTCCAGGTGGAGATGCCCCAGGAGGCAGGTGCCTGGATCTGGGGGGTCAGGCAGGAGCTGGGGCTCAGCTCTGCCCCATCCCTGGGTGTCTCTGAGTTGTTGCCTTGGGAATCTGCTGGGGAAGGGGCAGTGATCCCAATCCTGCAGGATCCTGGGCTCTGCTGAGGCTCTCAAGGGCTGCTGGGGCTGCTGCAGGAGGGGAGGGAGGTGTCTGTGTGCAGGGGAACCTGCCCTGGGCAGGCTGAGCTCTGTGGGGCTGGGTTTAGGACAGGCACAGCTCAGAGAAAAGCAGAATATTGCTCTAATGAGCTGTCACAGTGACAGCAGTGTCTCCTCCTCCCCCATGCCAGCCTGGAGCAAGAAAACTAAAAAAAAAAATAAAAAAATAAAAACTGAAAGTGCCTTGACAGTGAGGAGGGACTGTGTGAGTGCCTGAAGGTAGCAGAGACCTCCAGGGCGGTCTGGCTCATGTGTGACAATGGAAATTAAAAATTTACTGAGCTAAGAAAAACAAATCCTGGGATGTTGAACTGCTGGGAAAGTGCAGGGAGCAGAGAAGGCTTGGAAAAGAGCAGCATGGCCATGGAGGACAGCTCCCAGCTCGGGGGGATGTGGTGATGGCTCAGGCAGGAGCCTGGCTCCAGTGCCTGGGGAGAAATGGGGAGGAATATTTATCCATACAGCCCTGAGTGTGCTTCTGTCCATCTGACACTGGGGACACAGCTCTGCATCTCACTCATGGTCACAGAGCACTGTGGAAATAAAGAAATAAACCTCACCCCAGTGCTTTATTCGCTGTACATCTCATTATGCTGTTGTGCTGTTATTAAATCTTAATTAAAAGCAGCTTCAGACTTGCCAATCACTGGAATGAAAGGGTTTGTAAGCCCCCAGTTTTCTTTCACAGCTCTGATGCTGTTTGGTAGAATTTTTCTTCTTAATTTCCTTTAGATAGCAAAAGTAATTGGGGTGACTTTGGTGTTTTTCCAGTTGATTTCTTGGTGCAGTTCTGTGTACAGCAGGACACAAGTACCTGTGATGAATGGCAGATTAAAAATTACCTAATGGCTTCTTCTGGCTTTAATCTCTCTGAACTAAATGGATCTGAAGTTCATGGGATGTTTTGCCAAACAAAGCCAAACTTGGCTCTTTCCTTCCCCCCCCTCCTCTTTAGAGTCCCTTAACATTTTTATATCAATTAGTTCTGTCAAACCATTTTAGCAGGACTGAATGTGAATGCAGGGCACTGTGCCCCGAATGCACAAAGGGCATTAACCCTTTCTGGGGAGAACTGGTGGTTTCTGAACACAGCAAAGCCATCCCATGAACGTGAGGCATCCTTTCACACTGGGTAACACCTGCCTGTCCATTCCCAAGCATCCAGAGATGCTGGAAGTGTCCCAGGCCAGGCTGGACAGGACTTGGAGCAGCCTGGGATAGTGGAAGGTGTCCCTGCCCATGGCAGGGGTGGGGAACTGAATGATCTTTAAGGTCCCTTCCCACTCAAACAATTCTTATTTCAGATTTCCATCTCCAGCTGCTGGACTTGCAGTGGCCTCGTCTGCTTTGCTGTAACCTGGTCACTCTCCAATTGTTGATGAAATCTGGAAAACCAGCTTTTCTCTCTTTATCCCTTTCCTCCTTGTGCATGTGGGTGTGCTCAAAGTGGAATGAGCATCACTCGAGTGACTTAATGGATGCTCTGAAAGAAAAACTCTGCGAGCTCTGTGGCTCAGAGAGTTGCTTTTCAAAAGTCTCTTGCAAACTTGCCTGCAGTTGACGTTTCTTTGAAGAGTCTGTGATGACTCTTTATGTGCAGTTCAGCCCTGCCTGGGTGTCAGCAGTGCTCAGCACTTGGTTTTCAAAGAGAATTTGTTAGCACAAGTGCAGCCTGAGAGATGAAAGGATCTGTGCTGAGTCTGGTTGGAGGCAGTGACACACCAGCCAGGGAAAGAAAGGTTTAGAGAGAGAGATTTGATTTCCCTGGTCGGTTGTGTCACAGCAGCTTTTCTCCCAGGGATAAAATCCTTTCTCTTGGTGTATGTGTGGATGGGCACTGCAGCCAGAGCCCACAGCCAGGCTGGAGGGGCCACAGTGATATCTGGTACAACCTCGCTGCTCCAGCAGGCTCATCCCAGAGCAAATCACACCCCTTGTTTCCTCTGCTCCCTCATCTGTGTCCCCACTGAGCAGGGAAAGGTTTCTGCAGGTGGTGGAAGTGGAACTGGGGCTGTGACACAGCCCTGTGTCCCTCTGGGCTGTCACTGAGCTTTCCTTTTCCTTTCCTGTCCCTGGTGATGGGTCCCCCTTCCCTCCAGCCAGCTCTCCTGGCACAGGTCCTGCTCTGGGAAATTCCTCCCACCCCCTTGTCCTGGTGTTTCTGATTTTTGAACATCTTTGGCATTGCCTGCTTCACACTCTCAGCCCAGTTCATGGCCCTTTTGCCTCTTTTTCCTGTTCTCTGCAGGAGCAAGGCTCCATCCCTGGAGCAGTTTAGAACCTTCCAGCAGCCCCTCTTGCTGCTGTGAATTTTCTAAATGCTGCTCTTGCAGACTTCCCCCAACTGCTTTTTCAAGTGTGTGCTCCGATGGCAAAAAGCAATATATTTTTCCATCCTACCAGCACATCATCATCAAGTTTGCCTGTATGGCAAAGTGCAGCAGCCCCAGGAGGGCACAGAGGGGTGGGGTTCAGTCCCAGGGGCAGCTTTGTTGGGGCAGAGGTGTTGTCAGCTCAGGGCTCTCTGGGGATGCTGGTGAGGCTGGGATGGAATCGATCCCAGACTGAGCTGGGCACATCCAGCCCCTTCTGTCCTGGAGCTGTGAGAGTAATAATAATAATAATAATAATAATAATAATAATAATAATAATAATAGTTCTGCAAAGCCTTCCCTGAGCTGGGAACCAGGCAGGAGAGCAGCTCCAGGCTGGTTTTTTGGCTCGTGGTCCATGAAAGCTGCTGGGCTCTGGGGAAGGGAAAGCAGCAAAGCTCTGCTCAGAGCCTTGGCACAGCTCTGTGGTGGGCTCAGCTACTGGGAAACACTGAAAATAATTTACCAAACACGGCCACTTGCCCCAGAATGCTTCGAATATGCTGAATTTGAGAAGGCTGAGCATGTTTGGGGTTTCAGCAGGGAGGGGCTGGTCCCTCTGCAGGGCAGGACTCTGAGCTCGGAGCTGCCTTCATGTGCAGCCACTTCCAGGAGATTCCTGCCCTGGGCATTGCTGCTGCTTTATGAAAAGCTGGGAATTGCACCCTTGGAATGCAGGGAGGAGCTGGGAGCAGTGGGAAAGCTGCCATGGCTGGAGCTGGGCTTTATTGCACCCTCTGAAACGTCACTGTTGGTGACACTGCCACCGGCGACAGCGCCCGGGTGATTTGGGGGACATTTGTCGCCAGAGTCCATCTCCCCCCAGGAGCCAGACATCATGTGGCTGCTGCCTGGCACTGGGAGCTGTCACCGTCACTGTCACTGCTGTGACACATCAGGGAGGAGATGCTGCTTCTCATTAATGTCTGGGGTAAAGGGCATCCTCGGAGGATGCAGCAGCTCCCAGCCTCTCCTCGGCTTTGTGTCACCCAGCGTGACAAAGGTTGGGATATTTGGGGTAATTCTTGGCCATGAAAAGGAGGAATTGCCAGGCACATCCTGTGCCACGCCAGGGCTGGCTTTGGTTGTGTTTTGCCAGTGCTCACCTTGAGCACCTTGCCCAGGGTGATGGACGAGCACTGAGCGTGTCCTCAGGTTCAATAACTGCAAAATAACTGCTCTTGGCTTCTCCTGGATATCAACATCTCCTTTTTCTTAATTAGCATCACAGTGATTCTTCCCCAGTGCCTGTTTTCAGGGCTGTGTTAGCCCTGAGCTGTGTTTTTCAGGATAAGCTGCTCCATGGGGAGAGGGGGCTGATGGCTGTTTCCATCCATTCTCATGCCTGTTTTCCCCCTTTCCTGATCTCTATTTTTCCCCCAACCTCATGGCTGTTTTTCCCCCATCCTCATGGCTCTTTTTCCCCTTTCCTGATCTCTGTTTTCCCCCATCCTCATGGTTGTTTTTCCCCCATCCTTATGGTTGTTTTTCCCCCATCCTCATGGCTCTTTTTCCCCTTTCCTGATCTCTGTTTTTCCCCTTTCCTGATCTCTATTTTTCCCCATCCTCATGGCTGTTTTTCCCCCATCCTCATGGCTGTTTTTCCCTCCTGCCTGTCTCCCCAGAAGCTGGCAGCTGAGTGCCAGAGCGCTGGCTACCCGGGCACGCTGATCCCATACAAGTGTGACCTGTCCAACGAGGAGGAGATCCTGTCCATGTTCTCTGCCATCAAGACCCTTCACCAGGGTGTGGATGTCTGCATCAACAACGCAGGGCTGGCCCGACCTGAGCCCCTGCTCTCAGGGAAGACAGAGGGCTGGAGGACCATGATAGATGTGAGTATTCCCCAAGGGAGCAGGACTGGGCTACTGCTCTGTCTCTTCTGGCCACCATCTCTGTTGGAAAAGATAAAGATTTGACAGCAAAGTCTCACGGATGTGTGTGTGTGTAACAGAAAGATCTTTGAATGTAGAATCTGAAGAAGGAATAGAAATGATAGCAAGTGTTGATATAGAAGAAAAGAATTGCTGAGCCAGTCTGACTGGATAACTAAGAGGCCAAAGGGTAAAATGAGTTAGAAGGGGTTTTTATGACTCAAAGCAAAGGATAAACCCACCTCAAACAAAAGATGTTTTTACCAAGCAAAAAGATTTTCACAGGCAAACAAAAATGCCACTTTGAAAGCAGAAAAAAGATCCAAAAATTTCTGCTGCAGGAAAACTGAAAAACAACTTCTAGCTTAAACTGTAACACACAGACCTTTTGTGATTGGAAATAGTACCATGAACGTGGTAATGTTGGCATAGGCTGTAGGCAATGGTAAAAGTATTGGCTGGCTGTCGTGTTTTAAGATGCTCTGCAATGAAAAGTTTAGAATGCATTGTAAGCAGAACTAGAGTGGTTTCAGATAAAGCCACAGCTGAGGTGACAGGCTGTGGGCTGGGCTCTTGTCACCCACGACCCATGAATTGCTGAATGCTCTGGGTACAATAATCAGCATTTTAAAGAGCAGCCTGGAGTCCCCATCCCTGTTTTGGCTCTTCCACATCTCCTCATTTCAGAGCTGAGGATCTGCTCCCCAGCCTGCTCTGACAAAGTTTTGCTGCCTGGGCAGTGGAAGGACATCCTGCCCTGCTGAGCCCTCACCTTGGAGGATGGAAACACAGCAGCATTTTTCCTTTAGCTCACTGGTTTTCTGAAGAGCCTCCCATTTTTTTTTTTCTTCAATAAAGCAGGAAATCAAACGCCAGGCACTGGCTTTTGCAGCTAATCCTGTTAGTTGTGGCAGTGGGTTGTAGAAATGGGCAGATTCTTTTTGGCTTAAAAAGCTGTAATGCTTTTTGTCTTTATAGCTTAATTTTCTGCCCATAATCTGGTTAGGGCTGGATGTGAATGAGAGCACATTTCATGTGCTGAAATGGGAGTTGTGCACATGGCCCATCCCATTTACAGCTCCTCCCTGTCACAACCTCCTGTCCTGAGGTGCTGCCGTGTTCCTGTGACTTCACCATTTTTTTGTCACGATTTGGGAGCCCTTTTCTGAACACAGCAGTGGCAGCCACAGCTGTGGGAGCTCAGGGTGGTTTGGGTGTCCTTGCAATGTCTCTGACCAGCGAGGTGCTGAACCAGGAGTGGAGTGATTTCCCCTCCTATGTCACCTCCTCTTGTGCATGGAAGTGTTTTCCTCGCAGGAAACTCATGGCTGTGAGCAGCCCAGCAGCTCTGAGAGCTCATCCTGGTGAAGGGAAGGCCATGTCTGAAATGAAGCTGTAGCCTCAGGGCCACTGCTGGGACGTGCCAGCTCCCCTGGCTGTTCCTCCTGAGCGCTCTCAGGGCTGTGTAAAACAAAACACAGAAGCACATTGAGACTTCAGCCTCCTGCTGCCAGGGCAAGAGCTGCCATATCCTGGCTAATTAAGTTCTTGTTAGGATTTTGGCCCGACTGCTGGCTGCTGTGACTGCAGCCAAAGCAAGCTGAGCTCAGCTTTGTGTGCCCAGCCAGGCTTTGTGGGCTGCCCAGCCTGGGTCACTGCACAGCCACATCTCCCCAGCCCCTGTTGCCATGGAGGCTTCAAAGAAAATGAAGTGTAGCTCAGGCTGAGCTGGTGTTCAGCAGGGCACTGCTGAGCCCTGGGGGTCACCTGGGCCTTGAAAATTCCTTGTCCTGGTCCCTGGGACTGTGTCCTGTGTGGCTCCCTCAGGGATGCTGTGTGTCCCTCCTGCTGCTTTGTTTTTGTCAGCTGGGCAGGCTGGAGGGGACTTGTGGCATTTCCCAGCTTCCCCAACCCGTGTTCCCTCCCCTGGCTGCTCAGCTGAGCTTTATCTCACCTTCCACCATTTTCAGGGACAAAGGTTTTTTGGAGTGGGGATTGTCCTGTATGAGAGACTCCAGTGTTGGTGTTTACAGTGGCTCCGAGTTTGGGAGCCTGTGGGGGCTGCTTTGGGGTGGGATGGGTGGGAGGAGAGGCAGGGGGGTGACCCCAGTGTTAGGGAACCAGGCTGGGGGAAATGTTTAATTCCCAGGGATGAGCTGTACAACTCTCACTGCTTGGCAGAAATGCTGTTGCAGCAGCCTGAGGCACCCCAGCTCTCCCCTGTGCTGGCAGATATTTCCCTCTCACCATCCTCCCAGCAGCTGCTGGCTTGGCTGCTGAATTCTGTGTGAATTGAGCAACCCTCCCACCTCCAACGTGAAAGCAAAGCCCTGGGATGCTCCAGAGCCCAACTTCACCCCCACCCTGGCCACGGGCAGCCCAGCAAGGCTGGGCTTTGCTTTTTGTGCTGCTGCTGAGGGGTAGGAGCAGCTCAGTGGAGTTTTCCCTTTTGTTCCCTGCCCATTTTTAGTGGCTGCACGGAAATAAAAAAATGCCTGCTGGAAATGTCCCTGTCTCCAGGCCCTGCAGGCGCCGTGGCAGGGCTGGGGGGGCTCTGCAGGGCCAGCCCCCCCTGCCAGGGCACCCCAGGCCCCTTTCCATCCCAGGGAGAGCTGCCAGCACCTTTCACAGGCCACTGGGCTTTGCAGAGCTGTGTGGCAGCAGGGAGGCTCCTTCCCAAGTTTCCTTGGAGAGCAGAGTGCTGGGAGATGCTGTTGGAGAGTTCCAGGGCCCCTCTGGGCTGCAGCATGGGAAAAGTTTCCAAACAGCCATGGATCCATCGATTTAGGAGGCATTAGGGCCTTAAATTAAAGGCTTTTTTTTTTTTTTTTTTTTTTTTTTTTTTCCCTTTTTGGTAAATTGATTTTTGCTGCCATGCATTTTTTATGAGCTTTGAGGCTCTGTGTCCTTCCAGATCCCCCTCTCAGTATCCTCCTTCTTGTTACATATCTAGCAGCCAAAAGCATGCTATAATTTACTTATTCCTCCCCTTTTCTGGTTCTTTATTGTCTGGTATTTATTCCCAAGGTGGGAGCTGCTCCTCCCCAGGCTGCAGGATGTTTGGAATGATGGATTTACAGCAGATCTGCCGTGGGTGCAGCAGGGAAGGTGTCACCTCAGGCAGGTTCTGAGCCCATCCTCCCTTGGCTCACAGCTTCCCCCATTCCCTCAGTGCTTTGTGAGGCTGGAGCAAAGTCCTGATCTGCAGGAGGAGCTGGGGCTGTGTGCACACTCAGCCTCTGGGGCTGCACAGCCTCCTTCACGTTTTACCCACTGACCTTTCCAGCCAGGAATTCAAGCTGAACTTCCCATTTTCCCTGCTCAGGGCACAGAGGGCTGCAGCACAAATCCTCTCCCTCCTCTACACACAGAATGGGTTTGATTCTTGGCTTTATTCACTGACTCTGCTCTTGTTTTTCTGAACCATCTGTGCAGGGATATGTTTGCTGTAAGCTGTGTTTCCATATGTGCTCTGGAGCTGGGGCACTCCTTTGGATGCCTTGGAAAAGGCTGGTTCTGGGAAAGTGAAATGCTGAGCACTTCTAGGAACAGGATCTTTGATGTTCTCCAGGCTGGCAATTGCAGCTCCTTAATTGCTGGGAAATGTGGCACCGTGGTTTCTGAGCCCAGGTGTGCTGGCCATCCTTGCCAAGGGACCTTTGACCCTTTTCTCCTTAAAATAGGAGCAGAAAAATGTCAGATGTGGATGTTTGTAACAGCAGCCTCGGGGTGATACAGACTTGCTCGTTTTCCAGGTGTGTTTTTAGGTTCCTCAGTGCTTTTTTTGAAATGGGATTTCACCCCAAAACCCAGTCTGTGCTGGTGGGAAAAGGCCATCCCAGCTCAGCTGCCTTGCAGCCAATTGTTTTGTTGTACCGTGGAGTTTTATCACAGGGCTCTGGACTTTCCCATGTGGCTGTTGATTGGGATCTTGCTTTGCCAGGAGCTGTCAAAATGTTGTAACTCTGCCCACGCCGGGAATGGCTGCTCAGTGAGTCACAGGCTTTGGGATGATGTTACCCTCTAGTGGCCTTTGGAGAGGGAGTGGGGAGTGACTGCTCCCAAAAACGGGGGGCTGGGGCATCCCGGGGCAGTGAGGGAGGCAGGGATGTTGTTTGTCATGAAGGGTTTTACAGCAGCAGTTGCCCAAATCCAAATCCCAAAGGATCAGGCTGGAGTGGGTGAGTCCTGCTTTTCCCTGCTGTGGAATCCCAAATCCTGCCCGTGCCCTGCCTGCTCTGAGCTTCACTCCAGTGCTGCCTTCTCTGCTCATTTTCTTCCTGGCACAGCCCAGGTGAATTCCCAGGTTAAAGATTGATCTCTGCAGTTCCAGGTGTGATGGTTGAGGTACCCAGCAGTGACTCTGTGCTTGACCAAAGTGCACTTGGATGGGGCTGATGGCTCCACTTGTGTTGCCTGGGTACTCCCGGGATCAGATAAGCTCCCTGTTTATCTCTGGCCAGATAAACCCCTCAGGGATGGCCTCTGGTAGTGAATAGGGAATAAAAAAACCAGACAAAAAGCTGTGACCCGAGATCCTTGAGGTGACCCAGCTCCTCTTTGTGCTGCTCAGTGGTTGCATCTCTCAGCTCCATCCCTTTCCAAAGCAGTGTCCCTCTCCTGCCTGTGCCAGAGTTATTCTGCCCCATTCTTGTTCATGATTTTCCCAGTGATGATCCCCAGCCCTGTCCCATCTCCATCCCTGGCTGTTCCTGCTGCTCCACCCACTGATAGTGGCACCTGCCTTCTGATTCATCAGAAAAATCACTTCTTCCTGAGGATTTCACCCACTGCAGTGTGCTCTGACCCTTCTGGGCTGCTCATTTAGCTGGCAAAGTCCCACAGTGTTAGCTAGGACCTGCCAGGGGATGGTCACATCCTTTCAGCAAAACCCCTTCCAAATCTCAGCCACCTGAGCACTTAGCACTGCTGCTGAGATTCTTGCTCATCAGTCCTGCACCAACCCCTGGGCCCTCTGTATTCCAGCTGGGAGAATTTCCTTATCTTTATCTTCCCAGCAGCTTTGGCTCTGTGTTTTATGGTCAGGGAATGCTGGAGGGACTGTACATTAATGCTCGTGGAGGTGATAGGACTGAGTTTAACCAAGCCAGGGCACTCTGGGAAGTGCTGGTCCAAAGAGCAAGAGCCTGGAATGCTCTGGATCCTAAAGGACTGGGTAAATTGCCAGTTAGGGCTGAGGGAAATGTCAGCAGGCAGTGACAGATCAGTGGCTTCCACACCCCCGGGGTGAGTTGCCCACCCTGGTGCTCCCTGTGGCACAAAGTGATCTTTGGTTCCTGTGCCTGGGAGCTCTTTTGGTGCCTGCTCTGAGCTGCTGGCGCTCTGACAGGCAGCATCTGGGGATTTCCTCGTTAATGAGCTGACCTAATTATCTGCTGTTAGTGCCCTGCCAGCTGCCCAAACCCCGGAGTGCTCAGTGCTGGACAGAAACACCAGCTCTGCCTCTGGACAGGGGGTCTGCTCTCCCTTCATTTGGACTTTACCCTCACACTTGCCCCTAAAACGATCAAGCCCATTGATTTCTGCTCCCCCTGGGTGTCTGTGCACCCCCAGCTCAGGTGTGGGGTGTGAGGATGAGCAGTTCCCTCTTTGGCTTTTCCTGGGAATTGCCCAGGGACTGGGACTGATATCCCAGTTTTTGGGCACACAAGGGGCAAATCAAGGAGTGCCAGGCAGGGCTGCTGGCCTTAATTTCTTCTTCTTTTCTCCCCCCTGAGGTTAATGTGATGGCTGTGAGCATCTGCACCAGGGAAGCTTATCAGTCCATGAAGGAGAGAAACATCGACGATGGGCACATAATTAACATTAACAGGTGAACGAAGAGGGGTGTGGGATCAGCCTCGGGGGATTCCTGCTCTTCCCTGCAGCACAGAGAAGATTTAAACACTGGCTGGGCTCAGCCTTGGGGGTTTCCTCCTCCTCCTCCTCCTCCTCCCTGCCTTACAGGAAGGGTTTAAGCACTGGAGTTTGGAGCTTGCTGTGGGTGCTGGTGGGGTTTTCTAAGGATTGTGGTGGTTGATAGTTCAAACTTAATCTTTGCTGGTATAAAGCAGGGAAGACCAAAGCAGGGAGAAAAGGATAATCCAAACTAGGGAGGAAAAGGATGATCCAAACCAGGGAGAAAAGGAATAATCCAAACTAGGGAGGAAAAGGATGATCCAAACCAGGGAGAAAAGGAATAATCCAAATAGGGAGAAAAGGAATAACCCAAAGCAGGGAAGAAAAGGAATAACCCAAAGCAGGGAAGAAAAGGAATAACCCAAAGCAGGGAGAAAAGGAATAACCCAAAGCAGAGAGAAAAGGAATAACCCAAAGCAGAGAGAAAAGGAATAACCCAAAGCAGGGAGGAAAGGATGATCCAAAGCAGGGAGGAAAGGATGATATCAGCCACTCCTGATGGCTCAGGGCTGAAGTTTGGTTTCTGGAGCTGGTCAGGGACATTTTGGCCGTGTGGAGAGGAGCTGTCTGCTCCCCGTGCCAGCCTCTCAGTGGGTTTGCTGTGACTCTCTGAGTGTCCTGCAGGTCCCTGCCAGCCTCCAGCAGTGTCCCCTGTGCTCTCCCCCCAGCATGAACGGGCACAGCGTGGTGCCCCAGTCCGTGGTGCATTTCTACAGTGCCACCAAGTACGCGGTGACAGCGCTGACCGAGGGGCTGAGGCAGGAGCTGCGTGAGGCCAGGACCCACATCCGAGCCACAGTGAGTGCCCAGGGCCCTGCAGGAGCCACCTTCCACGGGCCACAGCTCTTCCCTATGATAAAGAACCAAAGGAGTGCAAAAGCAGTGCTCAGCACACTGGGAATGGTCAGGAAATGCTGTGGGAGATGGTGGCTGTCTTTGCCAAGAAGGGATTTTTTGGGTGCACAAAGTGGGCGGTTGTTTGTTGGGGGGGGGGTCACTCGGTGCTCACTCAGAACTTTTCCATGTTTTTCTTTGCTTCTCTGTCCCTCTGGGGTGTGAGGAGGGAAGTTCAGCTGTTCCCTTAAAAAAAATAAAGGGTGGGAAAGGAGAATAACAGAAAAACGAATTTTTTTTTCTTTTTTTTGTATTCTTTTACTGAAGGGGAATTACAAATCCTATTAGGATGTGCTCTGCTTTTTTCCAGTGTATATCTCCAGGACTGGTGGAAACAGGATTTGCTTTTAAACTTCATGATAATGACCCCGAGAGAGCTGCTGCAACTTATGAGAGCATTCGGGTAGGACTTGGAGGAATGGAAACAGAGGGAAGTGGCTCTGATTATAATTGAAGTCTTCTCCTGGTTAATAGTTCCAGAGAGTGCCCAGTGCTCTCCAATCTCAGCCCTCAAACCTCCAATTTTCCACTGGTATTTACACACTGTGTAGATTTTCATTTGGGTTCAGTTTCCAGCTCCTTATATTTTTCCTTTTATTCTGATGTTCTGTAAATAAGTGTCAGTCAGCTTTGCCGTTTTCCAGGCTGTGACTTCATCATTGCAGAGAAGATGGGACAAGCAGAGGTGCCAGCACAAGGAGAAATATTGTCCTGAAGGTGGCACGGGATTTCCTGTGGGAATTCCTGATAAGGATGGCACTGCCTGACCTGGCAGAATTGCTGTGCCAGCAGTGAGATTATTCACAGCAATCCAAGAATTATCAGCACCAGGCACATCCTTTGTGAAATTTTTAATGGATTGGATATTTCCTGCTTGCTTTCACCTTCAGGACATGCCCAGTGGCACTGTCTGACCTCGTTATGGGTGGGCAGGAGAGGAGGGGACCTTGGTGTGATGCTCTTTGACCCAGAGCTCCTTTGCTGTCTTGCAGTGTCTCAAGGCTGAAGACATGGCCAATGCTGTCATCTATGTCCTCAGTGCCCCTCCTCATGTACAGGTAGGCTGGGGCTGAGCCTGGGCTGGGGCTCAGGGCTGCCCTGGCCTGGCTGATCCAGCACTGGATCAGCTGGGAGCTCAGGGAGCCTGGGCTGGGGATTAGCAGGGATCACGTTTGTTTACACTTCTGGGTGACAGCTCTGGGATGGCACTGCTGGCACTGCTCAGGGTGTGGGATCACTGGGATGGCACTGCTGGCACTGCTCAGGGTGTGGGATCGCTCTGGGATGGCACTGCTGGCACTGCTCAGGGTGTGGGATCACTCTGGGATGGCACTGCTGGCACTGCTCACGGTGTGGGATCACTGGGATGGCACTGCTGGGGCTCTTCACATCCCTGTGGATCCAGCAAAGTCTGATCTGGCTCTGATTCTTCCCCTGGAGGGTGCTGGGCACTGCCCAGGCTCCCCAGGGTCACATTCCCAAGGCTGCCAGAGCTCCAGGAGTGTTTGGACAATACTCTCAGGGTGGGATTTTGGGGTGTCTGTGCAGTACCAGGAGCTGGACTAGATGATTATTGTGGGTCCTTTCCAACTTGGGATATTCTGTGATTCCATGATCCCAGAAAAAGACCGTGCAAGGCAGGGGGAGTGTGAGGGGTAGGGGCACACTCTGCCCTTTTGGATGGTGCCATGTGAGATTTGCTGAGTCTTGGCTTCTGCCAGGTGCCAAATGACTCGTTGGGCCTGTTCCCCCCCAGTGTGAGATGCTTGTGCTGCCAGAGGGACTCTCCTCCTGAGGAACAAGGAATGCTTGGCCAGCTTTGTGCTGGAGGCAGGAGGAGCAGAGTTCCTGTTGTGAGAGCAGACTTTGATCACGAGAGGCTCCTCGGTGTCTCGGGTGAACTCTGCTCCCTGGCACTGCATCCCTGGGGCTTTTCTTGGCTTCAAAAGAGAAAAAAAATCCTTCCTGTGGCAGCTCTGTGAGCAGGCCCAAACTGCAGCCTTGAGCCCTGGGGTTCACCCTGCACCTTCTCCGTGCATATTTGAGCTTTTGCTGCCTGCTAAAGGCACAGCAGGTCCCGTCAGCTGTGCTTTCCTCACAGCCCAGGTCGTCAGGCTCACTGCTGGCCACG